CCAGAAAAAATACTGTAACTCACAACCTGTACAAAAAAATCAGCTGTTTTTAACTATTAAAACCTCAGCAGCAGCCCTTCTATTTTCATATGCTTCACAACTTAGTTTTTGTCTGGGGACTGAGGAATGAAAATGTTTTCCTGATTCTTTTTGCAAAGTGTTTCTAAGATCTATGCCTGCTACCTTACATTTTCCTTCTAAGAAAGGCTTCCTAGAGACAGCTTGATGTGTATGGAGGAAAATATTCTGGTAGAAGGATATTTTTATATTCTTAAAGAATGATTTTTAATCTTACCACATCCAGTACTTGGGCTTTATTTATAAAGCTTATTATTCAGACAACTGCAGTCCTATCAGTTTCAGAGTTGCGTATACCCCGATGTCTTGTTCTTGTTCAAGAAGCAGTATTGTATTTTTGTATGTTTGTTTTTTCAGGATACACCGGGATGTGGAAGGTGTATTGCTCAAGCAATTTACTTTGGTTCTGTAGACATTTAAAAAAAATTAAGCTCTTTGATGTTTAAAAATCCAGTTCAAGCATTGCACTTATGCTTATTAATTCTGTATCAGTCTTGATTACTTGGTCATGTCTGCCAGCCTTTATTTCAAAATGATTTGTTCTTGCTCAGAGTAGATCAAACTTGCCATTAACAATCCAACTTTGTGATTTTATTTTGCTTGTAGGTTTAATCTAACTGGCAAAGAAGTGTAAGGCTTTAAATAGATTTCTTCTGGAATTTTTATTCCAAATTAGTCCCTTATTTTCTTACAGGTGATCATAGTTATTCTGGGGAAAGCTATGCATGTGGTAGGGTATGCAAGTAAATATGCTATATCAATGTAACACCCAGGATGTGTCTGGGGGCTTTTATTTTACCCAGACACATACAAGAGAAGCCAAAGCAAGTCCCTTTGAACTGTGCATGGGTTTATTGTGATGTTACCAATCAGGAAATATTAACAAGAACAGCCAGAGACAGCAGAGAATACACAGACATAGTCAGATCTTAGGGCCCCCAGAATCAGTCTTCAGGGTTCAGGGCAAGCTCCAGACTCCCACCCCTCTGCCTTTGTGCAGGAGAGTTTTCATAGTTTCATAGTTGTTAGGGGCTGGAAGGGACCTTACCGATCATCCATCCAGCCCCCCTGCACATGGGCAGGAAAGACTGCTGGGGTCAGATGGTACAGTTTAGGTTCAGATTTCTATTTCCATCTGTTCCTCTGAGATAAGGATCTCTTGGCCAGTTCAGGAGGGACCAGGGAAACTCAGTCATGATCTGTGACCATTGTTCTTTCCTAGGGTCACCTTATGAGCATTGGGTGTGATCACTGGCCTAACGTTTCAACACCCTTCACTAATCGTTAACCCTTGTAATTCAGACTGAACTGCTTCTGGGACCAGAGCATCTGGGAGTGCGTGTGCAGATCCATTGATGCACCTTTGCTACTGAGCATTAAGTTTAGTACCTCTGTCATACTAGATAGAGCAGGGGCAGGCTTTTGGGTGGAGGACACAGCTAGGGGCAGATAAATATTAATTTTCTAACTTTTTAGGGGCTGCATGGGCCAGACAGAATGGCCTGGCGGGCTGCCGCATTTTGCCCACCGTGAGATAGAGGGACTATCAGCACTAATGTGCAGTAGTGAAGGGGAACTTTTTGTGATGCTTAATGCGCAGCAGGCTATTGCTACCACACAGCAGCGCATTAGCACAGGTTTGGCCGCAAAGTGCCAAGACGCAGGAGAACAGTCCATTGAGCATTGAAGCCTCTTTCGACACAGCAGAGAGGGGCGCAGCACTCCCCAGCATCAAGCATTTAATCCAAATACAAGGCTAGAGCTCTCAAGGGACTCTGGGCAGCCCACCTGCCATTGGACAGCGGTCTGGCTACTGCGGCCTTCACACCGCAGGGGACGGTGATCCGCAGGCGCGCGGAGCCCGGGGGTTGCGGGACGAGCGGCCCCGCCCTCTACGTCATCGGCGTGCGCCGGGCTCGGCGTGGTCACGTGCCCGTGTTTACCCGAGCTCGGCGGGTCGCTGTGGGGGGTGAGGGGTTGTGTGCGGTCCCTCGTGCGTCCGGCCTGCGCCGCGCTTGAGCTCGCGACTTGTGACCTCGGGTGTCCCTAACCGCCCCCCTCGCGCCGGCTGCTCCTCCGCTCGGGATGTCGGTGCCGGCCAAGCGGTGCGGGCGGCCGCCCGTGCTGTCCTTCCTGGAGAAGAAGAAGAGGAAGCAAAGCCTGGACAGGCGACGGGGGAAGACGAGGATCTACGTGGGGAACCACATCGACCGGTGGCTGACGCTGAAGGAGAAGTTGGATTTCAGAAACGATGCTGAAGTCGCGGGGTTTTTGCTGGACTTGTAAGTGACCCTTCCCCACGGTATGTTTGCGTGAAGCAAACTCAGGCTTTTCTCAGTGGGTCTAATCCTGCACCTGTTACTGTAACGCAGGTACGACAACTATGACCCCCTGTTAAAAACGTCGATGTGCGCACTGCCCGAGGGTGCGAGAAGGATCGCCATGAAGGAGGGAAGATCCCCCCTGCCCGAGGACACTTCTTTAATAGCAGCTGACGGAACGTGAGTGAGGGCCTCTCTCTGCGTGACAGTAACACAAGAAAGGTTTTTTATCTGTCTTTAATCCCACCCCAGACCACTGTTTTCTTTGTCTTTTCTTTAACTTTATTTATTACTGAATCCAGTTTTTAAAATAACAAATCCAGTGTACAGAATAACACATCCTATGTTCAGAAGTGCGTCCAACCCACCAAAATATACATGAAAACAGATGCTGATCTCCCACCGACAGCACTGCCACAACCCAAATTAATATCCATAGGAGTCTTGTGCTCCTTTCACCTCCCGACCACTCTCTGACAGCTCCCCAATGCCTCTATCAATAATTTTTTTTATTTCTCCATCTGTATAGTAATTTGCTCCCTCTTCTTCCCCTAAACTTCACACAGTACTACAGATCCCACTATCTTCTACTCATCTCTACCCTCAAATTAATTACAGATTAATTACTAAGTGTTAATTCATAAAACTTGCACTTTGCAATTCAAAAATGTTTCTCATATTTTCTGGTTTGGAGGCAGGGAAGATGCATTTTTAGCAGATTCCAAAAATTTCCATCAGATTTCCAAGTAAATGTTTCTCCTGTAAAACACTGACGTGGTAGGACAACTTTTCCATTTACTAAAACTTCCCAAACTTTTTTAAACTGGTCGGTGATGTTAGGGGTGTCACTTCTCTGTCAGATTTTTTGCAACTGTAGTTCTTGCAGCCGCTA